CCATCCTATTTACTTGTATTAGCTTGAGAAGACTATAAAGCAAATTTCTGAAAAACCTGTAAATAAGCACATGAGATTACATTATGTAATTCATGGTTAAAGGTACAAATGGCTAATTTTTTATTTCAAACAAATCCAACTGTATTATAGTAGCCAATGATTATTTTGGGGTTGAAATACACTATGATTTTACTACTAAGGACTACCCCAATAATTTTCCATTTAGATTATTGACTATTTTTATTTGTATTACAAATTAAGACAAATTCTGAAACTTACTAGGAGACACACACAAAAAAAATTAGTAGCAGTCTTGGGTTAAATATGTCTCACATACCAGTTAAAGTGGTTAATCTAGACTTAGCTGCAACATATTCCCCAACCAATAAATATACAGTATTAGGTAACAGACTATAAAAAATCTGGATACCATCAAGGATTAATATGTAAGTCATTAAGATGAACTATACATGAACTCTCAGTTAAAAATCTACCTTACAAAATTATGGTCAAAAGCTTCCATTTCTATTGCTTTCTCCTCTCGTAATTATTATTTCTTGCGTGATAGTTTGTTATCCTCTAGAAGAGTAAGAAAAAGTCTTTTTATATTTCATGATAGGTTTAATCAGGTAATGAAAACAAATTCTTTGATATCATCTGATATGTCCAATTACATGGGTATGATGTAACAAAAACAGTTACAAACTTATATATGCATATTTACATTATATACCCAAAACTATCAAGCTAGTCAACTATATCTAAGGAGATACATTATGACATGAGTTAAACAATACTTTAATGCTTATTAGAAAGAATGCAGTCAAGCTTTTAATGGAAGTAATATACAAGTGAGGCACTTCTGAGGTCAAGAATAGAAAGCAAACGACACTACAGACTGGTAATGTTCACAAAAATCTATGTGTATCTGTAATACATAAGCTTTTCAACTAGGTATTTTTGAAAAATTTCAAAACTAGCAATTTATGCAATTTAAGGAGCTTCCAGAAACAACAGCTAACATCAGTGAATCAAAGCATACGAAAGGTTTATAACCACCTGGCTGCTAGGCAAACAGTACCTTAATACCTTAAAGCACTTGTTTTTGGTTTACATAAATCACTCCACGTTGTGATCTTTTTTGTTTTGATTTCCTGCACAATCTCTCACGGTGGTTTACAGATCAAAATATTTTTACATACACAACAATGCAAGTTTCCAGTACTTTCCCTTTTACTTAGAAATGTGATTCTGGAGGTCAAATTAAGAATGATAATATTAGTGAATAATCTGTGTTTTTCAGGTAACTAGAATTTCAAAGTTTTCAGAAAAATGTTACACTTGCTTAATGTATCTTTGGGCTAGAATTAAAAACCCACTCTTAAATACATAGTCTAAAGTGTAATCACAAGACTGAAAACAAATTTCAATATGAGAAACATCCTTAAGATTCTTTAAATTCAGAGGAAAGTACTTTCCTGTATTTGGGAGACTTGTATGGACATTAGGAAACATCTTTATGGTGTTCGATTAAATGGGGTTGGAGTTGGGGAAGAAAAATAAAAAGCAGGACTTACCTAAGTTATCAGATGGCACTATAACAAGAATTTAAAGTGCATTTGAATTACTTCAAAGGCTCATATTAGGCACTGCTGAATAACCAATGAAAATAGGTAATCTCAAATTTTCCCCTGCCCCAGCATCCCAGAGACATAAACACACACTCCCTCTGAAGTTGTCTTGATGTAGTTAGGTGATGTTTATTCTTTTAAAAAATTCTCCCTCACTAGCAATGGGAGGAAAAATAAGAATTCCATTTGGTAATGGCTTTAGAAAGTTAAAAGAATTGGTTCTATAAATGCTTCAGCACATCCATTAATTAAGATTGATTGCCAGTTCCAAATGTCAGTAAATATTTAAATTCAGGATATATGAGGAAAAAGTGCTCAAAATCCTTCAGCAACCAACAAGACACATTAGGTAAAATATTCCTTTTATAGTTTGAGATATATCTTACTCCTGCCTCCTCCGCTTGGCGGTGACCACCACTTAAATAGCCTGTGCAGATAATAGTGATGAGCCCTGTCAGACCCTAATTGCTACCTCACGGTTCTGGCCTACAAATTATCCAGTAGGTGGTGCTGAAGTTCCACACCTCAAATTTCTTCAGAAACCAAGAGATTCCCTCACTAACCCCCCACCTTCATTGCAGGAGAAAAACCATTTCTGAATTATCAGGTCTGAACACAACACACCATCTGACCAAAGTCTTTCTTGTCATGCCATCTAGATGACTTCATTTTCCATATTGACTATTATGTAAGCAGTTTTGTTTAGCCATTTGCTTATACTATCTGATTAAAAACAGAGAAAGGTTTTAGAGGAAAAGCCAGCTGGCAGTGCAGTGCCAAATCTGTATGCAGAACGAGAGAAAATGTCCCTGAACACACCTATACACATTTTAGTGTAAGAAATTTAAACCACCCTAAAATTTAAATTTTTCACATAGGACTTCTAATTTCCTCAAGAGAAACTTTCCACATAGGGATTCAGATAACTTGTTACTAGTTTTCTAGACCAATTTAGAAACTGGATGTGTTAACTGTAAAGATCCAAGGTGAAATAAAAACCATTTTATCACCATCGTTTTTAATGAAGAAACTTGTTTAAAATTGTAAAGGAAAAAAATGGGGATGGGACGGCAAAATCTTAGCAGCAAAGTGGTTAAAACAATTTGAAAATATTAATGCACAAACATTAAAATATTAAAGCATATATGTCGCATATAAAATACAGTACAGAACCAGGAGTTGCACTACATTGATTAGTGCTTAACAGAAGAAATGATTATATTTGTTCTTCCCAGAAATATATACACAGTCCATTTCCACAGATTTTCCTATATAGCCAGCAAGTTATTTTCTTCAGTTATTCACACCTTGCTCAAACCTGAATTATAAACTCCACACTTACAAATATGAAAATTTATTCATAAGGAAAATCAATTATTTTCATCCCACCAATAAGAAGTAATTTTGAAAGTTAACAGTCTATTCTAGGTAACCGAGTTTAGCTGAAAACTTCAGGGATGAGGATCATCTGGTGCAGCAGCGTCCAAATATATAAACAGTAAAAATAAGACTTAAAACTGCTGTTACAGTGTCACGTTTGGATTTAGTTCATCCAATTGATTTTTAGTACAAAACTAGAAATAACCTCTTCTTCATAACATCTATAGTTATCAATATATTTTTCTTCTTTTCAATGTGAAATAATACTTCAAGATGATCTATATACACAATGTTGTCAGTTCAAGCTGTCATATAAATATAAATGCTTTCTTAAAAAAAGTATTTTACAGACAGATAGTGTTATATACATTGTTCAGTTTGATCTGGGGCAAAAGAAGACAGCTAACACAAGCTTAAGTGTGAACGTAAAAAGAATGATCCATAAATGACATTTAAAAACGTGCATAGAAAATGAGCTTCAAATGGTAGTGTGATTTTAATGTTTATCACTTCTGAAACTTCAAGCCATTAAAAGGAAGGCACGCTTCTCAACTTGATCCCTCTAAGGGAATGTTCTTAGAGAACCCTTACTTGATTAGAGTTTAAATGTAACAGTTAAAAAAAAAAAAAAAAGACAATTTGTTCCCAAAGTACTTTAAATAATTGTTGGAACACTTATCCAACTACTTTGTGAATAAAACATCCAGTGATACAATGCTCTGCAAAAGAAATAAATTTTTATGTACAAGGTATTTCATTCACACTGTTGGATTAAATACTTACCTGGGATAGTTTAGCACATACTTTAACATAAAATAATTTTGCTTTTGGCTGGTTTAAATAGAATAAAATGCAACGGAAAAAAAGCTATTGGTATTATGTGAATAATGAGCACTGAGGATTAAGCTAAAAAATTAGTAACACAGCTGAACAAACTCTGGGTTAGCAGAATGATAAACGAGACTGCAGGAGGAAACTTTTATACTAACCATCCAGTTACACTTCTTGGCCTTGTAACATATTTGTAAATGCAATATTATTTTTTGAAGGAGGAAACGCTGAAAGAAAACAACTTGCTGGTTGAATACCACAAAAAACAAAACAACAACCCCGAAACCTCTTTTTTTTTCTATGTTTACACCATCGCTTTTTATATAAAAATAAGTGTTACGCTCCCATCAGAACATTAGACGATTACAGCTGTGCTTTAAAAAAAAGTTGGTCACTCAAGGCTATTAGAATATTTTAAAGAATTTTAGATTACCAGAATGTACAGATAGAACTCAATATAAACCATAGCCAAAGGGAAACAAAGATGAAATATCAAATCATTCACATGGAATAAAAATGTTATATTAATTAGATGAGTAAAGTATGCAAAATATAATGGAATGTGACAGTAGATATATGTATATCTACTTCAGAACTAGGAAGGGGAAGAAAAGTTTAATGTCATAATTCGTACCTTATATTTAGTTAAATATAAACATTTGTTATTTATACATAAAACTGCTTTCAAAAAACAATAAATGATTCAGGTGCACTTGTTTAACTTCTTATAATTTCCAAGTGTTAACCTTTCTTAGATTGAAATCAGCTGTTCCCAAGTGCACTTTTAGTTCATGTCCTAATGAATTCAAACCTTTAAAAGTCCCATCACCTAATGCATAAATATACAAAAATGCCAAAAATTAATCCCTTTTAGTCGGATCATATTTTATGATCGCTCTTTATAGCCAATAACCAGAAATGGTTTCCTTTCGCAAATATGCTTTACAACCTGTAACAAAACATGCCATGCACTCAAGGGAAAAGTTAGGCATGGCTGGCATCGGTGAAATGCCAAGAACTGACGAGCGCTGCTTCCTCCACGTGTGGCCCCTCTGACACCAGGCAAGGTTTCATATTGCTTGCCGAAAGCTTCCGCAAATCCAAGTTAGCTAATGCCTGGAAACAAAGGATTTAAACTCCTGTTGGCCCTAGATCCTCTCATCCAGCAGCCTTATGTTTCCCACCACAACACCCACACGCCTCCCCACAACGATGGCACGATCTCAGAGGGACGTAGCAGCACATACACGGGACAATGAAAGAAAGAGCTACCAGGGCTAACCATCGTAGGCAGAACTTGTCATCGCTAGTGTCACACGAACAGGGATCAGAAAAGTCTCCCTCTGAGTCTGACATACAATGATACAGCATGCTCTCGGCACAGAGCATGCAACTAACTTGATAGATGCATCTTCTAATAGGGTCTGGAGCATCCTGACACTTCCCCCTGCCGTTTTCTTCATGGTTAAACCTTTCCTGGCAGTAAACGCAGCGAGAACGCTCACCATCTTCTTTTCTTCGTTTTGACTTCTTAAATTTTAATGAGGAAGGCTGTGTCTTAAATACCACGGAGTCTTTGAATGAACTTAACTTAGTCTCATCCCCACAAGAGTACAGATAGTCTGATTTTTTACTGTCTGGTTTGGAGAACTGAATATTGGAGTCAGTGTCATCTCTCTCCAAGTCATTTTTCCACATGTCAGGATGCCTGTAGTCTGCATAGCGACGGATTAAGATATCTCGAGGATTTATTCTGACAATCTCATCCTCATCTTGAAAGCTGACATGTCGAGGGACCTAAAAAAAGGCAAGAGATGAAAACTGCAATAAGGACTGTAAATGTGAATTTTAAGTGTCAACTTTGCTGAGCATCGTGACCAGATATTTGGTCAAACATTACTCTGAATATTTAAGTACAGATGTCTCTTGGTGGACTATGACGAGTGAAGATCAGCCTCCATGATATAGGTGAACCTCATCCAATAAACTGAAGGCCTTTATGGAACAGACTGATGGCAACTCTCCCCTGCTTCTCAAGTCCAACAGTTTACCCTTCTCAAGCCCGACAGCAGGTTTTGGAGCTGCACCTCCACTACCACAGGTGCCAGTTCCTTAAAAGAAACCTCTATACACATCTTGTTGGTTCTGTTTCTCTGGAGAATCCTGACTCATCTATTGGTACTGAGAAGTGGGTTGCTGTAAGAAATACCTAAAAGTGTGGCAATGGCTTTGAAACTGGGTAATAGACAGAGACTCAAAAAGTTTTGAGGTGCACGTTATAAAAAGCCTAGATAGCCTCGAACTTTAAATATAATACTGGATAGTGAAAGGAAGTGGTAAAAACAAAACAAAAAAAAAAAAAAAAAACGGGGGGGGGGCAGGGAGGAGAAGGGGAAGAATTGTATTCTAGTGTTTTATGGAAGGCAGGAGTGTAAGCATGCTCTGAAGAAAGCACCAAAGGTGTGGCCCTGGCCGGGCTGGTTAGGTTGGTTGGAGCATTGTCCCACACCAAAAGGCGCAATGGATCTGTCTCTCTCTCTTTCAAAACCAATAAACATATCCTCGGGTGTGGATAAAAAAAAGAAAAAAATACCAAAGGTGTGGCTAGGCAATCATAGGATAAAGAGGCTATGGTATGACTCATAGGTCCTATCAACCATCTCAGCTGAAATGCTGCCAGGTTGGATCTAAGGGGACAGAGTTGAGAGGAAATGAATCAAGGTTGTCAAAGTAGCAGCATTTACAGGACTGGCAAACAGAGCTATCTGGCTGGGAACATGCATTATCTTTTAAGGGAAGAACGGGAAATGTCGGGGCTGTCTCCTCAGTTCAATAGGACGGGGCCACTTCCTCAGTTTCAGGGGGCCAGGAAGCCCAAGGGTCAAGGTTGTAGGGCCACCCCCCATGAAGAAAAAAAAAATCATCAGGCCAAAGAGGATTGTTTCTGAGCCTTAAAAATCTAATGACATTTGCTCTGCTAAGTTTTGGACTTGTTTAAGAATCCCATGACACCTTTCTTCTTTCCAGTTTCTCCCTTTTGGAATGGAAATATCGGTTCTGTGCCTTTCCCACCATTCTAGTTTGAAGCAGATAAGTTCTCAGGTCCCAGAGAGAAAGATATTTGCCTCAGGAAGAATCGTATTTTGTCTGAGCCCACTCTTGATTTAGATGAAATTTAGATGAGACTCGGGGTCTGCTGTGATGGCGTGAATTTTTGCATGTTGAGAAAGGCAGGAATTTAGGGGACCAGATGCCGGAGGGGGGAAATGTTACGGGCTGAACCATGTCCTCTCCAAATTCACGAGTTGAGGCACCAACTTCCACTATCTCAAAAAGTCACTATATTTAGACACAGGGACTTTAAAGAGGTCATTAAGTTCAAGTAAGGCCCTTAGAGTGAACCTTAATCCATCCAATTTGACTAGTGTACTTTGAAGAGGAAATTGGACACACAGAGAGACACTGGGATATGCATGAAAGAGCAAAGACCAGTGAGGACACACCAAGAAGGTGGTCACTTGCAAGCCAAGGAGAGAGGTCCCTGAAGAAACCAAATTACTAACACTTTGACCTTGGACTTCAGTTTCCAGACTTAGAAGAAAATAAATTCTTGTTGTTCCAGCCATCTAGTCTGTTGGTCTCTGAAAATAACTTAAAATGTACCATACCGTATACACATACATGTATATATACATATACACACAACCTCCCTCACCCCTCCTTCTGGATAAACTGTCTCCTTGAGGCCAAGGAGCAAAGTTAATCTTCTAGAGATAAATCATACAAGGTCTAAATCAAAACGATCCTTTATTTAACCATTCAGGTGGGCTTCTGGAAGTCGAATTTGTATCTCCTGGCCCCAGTCCCTGGACACAGCGACTAGTCTACAAGTAAACACCTGACCCAGGTTGGGGCAAACTTCTATTCCCCAGATATTTGTACTGGGACTAAAAAAATTCCAGGTCAGGGCTAAAGTGAAGTCCATTAAATCAACTATGTATAATTCTTATTGGTTCTATCTGGTGATAAATACACTGTTGATATCCCCTAGATTCACAATAGAAATTTGGATAGAATTTATGTATTAGGGTTTACAAGCATTTATGTAGCAAACTTATACACTAAATTATTTTTTGTAGTACAATTCAACTATATAGAGAATAAGAAGGACTAGAAAACTTCACTTATTTGTTCATTAATTATAGTCCATATCAGAAAATAAACTAAGGTAACTTACCTTATTTTGGGACTTTAGGCCTCCACATTCCTTGGATATTTGTCGCTGTGCATATTCTATGCTTCTGCCCTGAATGTCTAGGCTTGGATGAGTGAACGTTATCTAAAATACAAACAATTTCTACTTAAATGACAATTCCAGGATTTCATAACTTATTAGTAGTTAAGCTTTTCAAAATGTTGAGTCATCCTATTTATTATATAAAATTAGGTCTTTCCTTATGCATTTAAAATTTAAATTAAAAAGTAATACAGAATTCTGATTTCTGGTTCTACATGTAAGCACTTTAAACTTGTCACTCTGCCCTAAAAAGGAAAATATGAACAGAAAAAAAAAAAAAAAATCAACACTTCTTGGGTGTGTAAGACAGAGGACACAAGGCAAACCACTGCTTCCAAGCCTGGAGAGACAGAATAACAGAGCAGACTCATGAGTGATCAATGCCATGGAAACCAGTGCTGGGGTAAGAAAAGCTAAACTGTAATTGATGAATTGCTGGAAGCTCACTGTAGATAATGTTAAGATTCACCTGCAGGAGTCTACTAGGTCTCCACAGTAAATATCAGAAAAGTCCCAAATGCTTTTAGCAGGAAGAGGGGGAAAGAACCATTTTGAAATTAGGGCGCACTCTGTTTTTAACAGAGTCTGCCCCAGAAGAAACTAGTTAACCTGGGCCTGACCTGCCAGGTGTCATCAGAACCTTTTTGACCATCCCATCCACACTAAGCAGAGAAGGAAAAACTGAGAAATACTAGTGAAGTGCACAGTCCAGATGCATGATTCAGACTAAAAGACCGACCAACCATAGGCTATAAGAATACTACCTCTCCCTACACACTTTACCCCTATATTACCGAAGGCCTATTTACTAGCATTCCTTTTACCCAGTACATTATGTGGAGCTATAACCACACCCCCCCTCCAAAAAAAAGAACAAACAAAACAAAAACAACAAAACATATGAAAAGGCAACAAAAACAAAACAACAACAACAACCCATAATTTGAAGAGATAGAACAGGCATCAGAACCAGACATGACAGGGACTTTGGAAATGGCAGACCAGGAATTTAAAACAACTATCATTAACATGCTAAGGGTTCTAATGGATAACATAAACAGCATGCAAGAACAAATGAGCAATGAAAACTGAGATGGAAATCCTAAGAAAGAACAACAAAAAGCTAGAGATTAAAAAAACTAAGAGAAATGACGAATGGCTTTGATGAGCTTAATAGAGAGGAAAGAATCTCTGAGCTTAAGAATATATTAATACATACCTCCAAAACGAAAGCAGAGAACAAAGACAGAAGGAAATGAACAGAATACCGGAGAACCGTGGGACAACTGAAAGAGGCATAGGAATATCAGGAGAAGAAAGGAACAGAAGGAATATTTGAAATAATGTCTGAGAATTTTACCCAATTTAATGTCAATCACAGATCTAGGAAGCTCAGAGAAGACAAAGGAGAATAAATGCCCAAAAAGTAAAACTAAGCATAATATTTTAAAACTATAAAAAAAAGAAAGTCAAAGATAAAGGGAAAATCCTGAGAAAAACAACATCAAAACAAACAAAAACAAAACACACACACACACAAACACAAAACATAGAGAAAAACAAAACAAAACACTTTTCTTTTTTTCTTTTTTTAAAGAAAGGAGCAAAATGAGAACTACATCTGACTTGGAAACCATGCAAGGACAAGAAGAGTGGAGTAAAACAAAGTATTGAGAGAAAAATCCCACCAACATACAATTCTGTATGTTGTGAAATTATCTTTCAAAAGTAAAACAGATAGATATAAAGATTTTCCCAGGCAAACAAAAATCAAGGAAGTTTGATGTCAGTAGACCTGCAATACAAGTAATGTTAACAGAAGTTCTAAATTTAAAGAGAAGGAAAATAATGTAGATCAGAAACTTGAATCTACATAAGAATGAAAGAGTATCAAAGAAAAAAAAAATAAGTAAACATAAAATAAAACCTTTTATGTTTCTTATTTTATTTTATTTTATTATTTTTTTAAAATATATTTTATTGATTTTGTACAGAGATGAAGGGAGAGATAGTTAGAAACACCGATGAGAGAGAAACATCAATGAGCTGCCTCCTGCATGTCCCCTACTGGGGATGTGCCAGCAACCAAGGTACATGCCCTTGACTGGAATTGAACCTGGGACCCTTCAGTCCCCAAGCCGATGCTCTATCCATTGAGCCAAACCGGTCTCGGCTTATGTTTCTTATTTTAATTGATCTAACAAAAGATCTAACAAAAGTTTGTAAAAAAAAACAAAACAACAAACACAAACAAACCAGCAACAATGTACTTGATAATGTGTGTGTGTGTGTGTGTATATATATATATATATTACAAAGCCCTAAGTGACAGCTGCGATGGAATGACTAGACCCTATGACATGCACTGACCACCAGGGGGCAGATGCTCAATGCAGGAGCTGCCTCCAGCAGCAGGCCTCATTTGCTGATGGGGCCTGCCTGCCAACCTCCCAGGTCCTCACCCTGGCTGGGTCAAGGAACCGGGGGTGGGTGCGGCAAATGCAGCCCCTTTCCCAGGCGGGATGAGGGCAAACAGCAACCTCCTGGGCCACTCTCCGTGTCCCTCCCCTGGGTGGCAGGCCCTGATCGGGGCCAGCCCCCAGGCTTAAATGGGGAACTGGGGGTGGGTAGCAGCAGATGCAGGTGGCGAGAGGCGCAAGTGGGAAACTGCGCAGTGGTGGCGCATGGTGGGTCAGGGTGAGGTAAAGATAAGGGGACAGCGGGGGAGGTGGGGAACCCTGCGGTAGTGGCACATGGGCAGCGAGCAGGGGAGGCAGAGAACCACACGGTGGCGATGAGGGAAGGAGGCAGGGAACCTGATTGGCTCTGATCACCGGCCAGGCTTAGTGACCCCACTGTGCACAAATTTTGTGCACTGGGCCTCTAGTATGAATATACTTGTATGCTTATATATGTTAAAATGAATGACATCAATGATACAAGGGATGGAAGGGAGGAATTGGGATTATTTTACTACACAAGATACTTGCACTACCTGTTAAGATGGTTTAGTATTATTGAAAACAGACATGAATTAACTGTAAATGTATATTGTAAACTGTCAAGCAACCATAAAAACAGGTTTTGTTTTTTTTTTTAAATAACTGATATGCGAAAAAGGAGAGAATGAAATAATATAAAATTCTATATAATAAAAGCCTAATATGCAAACTGCCCCTTGACAATAGTTCGACCGAGACCGGGAGTTCGACTGCTTGCTTTGTATGCTGACCACCAGGGGGCAGTGTGGAACATGGTGGGAATCTGTGATGCGCTGTGAACTCTCGCTGGCTACCTGGGGGCAGGAGTGACAGGGTCAGAGGTGCAGTGAGAATGCAGGGTGTCCACCGAGCTCACTCTCACTTCCCCTGCTACCTTTCCCCAGGAAGCAAGGGCTGGCATGCCAGGGAAGTCCCCACGCTCAGGTGCCTGGTGCCTGTGAGGAGGCACCAGGCACCTGAGCGTGCCCACCCGCACGGGTTCTTTAGGATGAGCCGGGACTGCAGGGGCCGGTCTGCCTCCCTTGGGTTTTGCAGGAGTTGGTCTGCAAGGCTGGCCAGGAGAGCGCGTGCTGATTGCCCAATTTCTGTGTGGCACCGCTGGGCGGCCCAGAGCCCCACACTGTGCCCCAGCCCTTGGCATCCAGCTGCGTTCACTACATCTCTGTGTGGGACTCAGGCACTGTGACTCAGGCGGAGGCGGGTGCATGAGGCCTGGGGTGCATGGGGGCCTGGGGTCCCAAGTGTTGCCCAAGGCCCAGAGGTCAGCTGGGACCTGCCCTTCCACACCAGATGCTGGAGATTCAATAGCTGGCCAGGCCTAGGGACCAGACCCCGTGCACAAATTTCATGCTCCGGGCCTCTTGTGTTCAATAAATGCACAAAAGACTTTGGGAAAATTGAAATATAACAATAGGAATAAAGAACAAGAGTAACAAACAGAAAACTAACAAATATGACAGAGATTAAGTCAACTGCATCAGTAATCACTTTGAACATTAATGACCTAAATATTCTAATTAAAAGACAGAGACTGCAGAGTGAATAAAAAAATAAGACCCAACTATATGTTGTCTGTAAGAACAACATATGAGCAATGATATAATGATAAAAGGGTCAATTCTCCAAGAATTAGCAAGTATGTCTTTAACAAAAGTATGTCAAATTACACAAGGCAAAAACTGTTGGAACTGCAAAGAGAAATAGAGGTGCCCATTGTTGTAGATGAAGACGCAGGGACAGATCCAACAGGCAGAAAATCACTAAGGACAAATTGAACACATTAACTCAGTCAATCAAGTGGATGTAATTGACATCTGCAGACTACTCATCCAGCAGCAGTATACCCATTCTTCTCAATCTCTCACGGAGCATTACCCAGACAGACCACATTCTGGATAAAAAACAAAACAAAACAGATCTTAGCAAAAAAAAAAAAAAAAAAAAAAAAGGTAGGGGTGGGAGTTTATACAATGTCTGCTCTCAGACTACAAAGGAATTAAACTGGAAATGAATAAGAGAAAGGTAATTTAAAAATCCTAATATATGTGTTGCTTAAATAACATACTTCAAAGTAACACATAATGGGTCAAAAAGAAATCTGGGGAAACTTAAAAGGTATTTTGAACCAAGAAGAAATAAAAACAAATGATCAAACTTTATGGAATACAGTAAAACATGTGCTTAGAGAGAAACTGATAGCATTGAATATATGTAATTAGAAAAAAGGAAACATCTATATAAAAAATGTAAGTTCTAACCTTAGCAAAGCAGAAAAAAATAAGTCCTAAATAAGAAAAGAATAAGAATTAGAATAGAAATCAATCAAAGTATTAATGAAATAAAAAACTAATTCTTTGAAAAGATGAACAAAATTGACAAGCCTCTAGTCAGACTAGGTAAGAAAGAGAGAACATAAATTATTAATATCTATCAGTACAGATCCCATGGAAATTACAAGGTTAATAAAAGAACATTATGAACAACTCTATGCCCACAAAATTGCTAGCCAAGGTGAAATGGATGATTCCTTGAAAGGCAAAA